TCTCCTTGGTGTGAGACCTCACTCACAAGACACACGACTTGTACTTTGTTCTTGCATTTGAGGTTCCCAGATGAGCCTGCCTCCCAGAATTTAGGACCTGCCAGAGTATTGAACTCGACCAAATATTAGTTAGGTCTCCCCAGAAAGGAGAGAGTCACAAAGGAGTGGCCACTATGGCTGGTTTCAGAGAGCTATTGACTGCCCAGGACAATCCAAGACATATCACTCTATGTGACCAGCGAGGACTTTGGCCCCTCACTCCTATCTAATCTCTGAACCAGGCAGGACTACATATGAGCTGAAAGGACTCCTTTAGCCTGTACTAGAGGAAGGCATGCTAACTGGACTCCTGACTTTTTTCTGTTTGAACTTCTGGTGGAAGTGACTTGGAGAAGATAGCATGAGGGGCAGGGGACATGCCCATTGAGGTCTTCTGAATTATCCACAGAGCGAATCCCAGGAAGGAGAGGCATTCCAAAGAGGAAAGGGATCCAAGCATGCATCTGCTCTAGTCCCTTCTGTGAATAATCTGCTTGCATAAAGCTCTTCCTTCTAGACACTTCTCTAGGACAGTGGGCTAATGATGCCATTATTGATCTATTTGGGGGATCTTTGTTCCCCACGAGAAGGAGAAGTGCAGGGTAGGGGAGAAAGAAACCAGAAAAAAAGCCTTGAGTATCTCCTACCTGTTGGTATATGTAACCTAACTAACTGCACTGTTGTTTTCCCTGGCCCACTGCGTGGGATCCAGAGAGCTCTTGCAAAGTCTCTTATATCCCAACCTGTAACTTCTTTTCTCTGGAGACCTCTGAAGTCAGTATTACAACTATAAGTGTTAAGGCTGAGGATTGAATGACCCTAAATGCCTTAGATAAGAAAATAAGAGATGAGAAGAATAGGAAGTAACACTAGGTATACACTAGTGAATAAAGCTGACAAAGCGCCTGCTTTCCTGAAACTTACATCTAGCCATCTTTTGCAAACCCTAGAAAATACACTTTCAAGGGTACCATGGTCAAAGTTTTGAGCCTTGTTGTATACAATCAGTGGACCCAGAAGATGCATAACAAAATCTCCTGAGTCCTTGAGTCATAAGCCCCTGGGCCATCAGAGACAAGCAGAGATTCCTGGCATTTGAGAGATCCTTCAGGAAGATCATTGCCTACCTCAACAGTACCACCATCTTTCTGATATACCTCTTCAGTAAAGAGTCAACAGTTGCCATCTGTTTACTCTGCCCCAGTGGTATAATATTCTGTCCCAGCTTCCCATATATCAGTAGGGGCCATTGTGTCAGAACAAGCCCCAGGATTGGAGAGCTCCACTCCTGTGCTTATTTTACAATAGTGTTGGCTCCAGCTGAGGTCAGCTAGTCACTGTGTGAGTTGGAGCTACTCACCATCAAGGCTGCCTTCAAGAGGACCCATTACTGCCTGCTGCACAAGCTACGTCCTGGAAAACTTCAGAAGACAGGAAAACCTAGCCAAATGTGATGGACCCTCTTTTTTCATATATTTGAATTGAAAGTTAAATGATCCCCTTGCTTTGGTGGGTAGCAGAATGGAAAACATTGGTTATAGAGTATTCTCAGAGTCTAGAACTAGACTAGAAAAAGAAAATAATTCCAAGACTGAGAGGGTGAAAGAGTCATAAATGGTAAGTGGTGAGGTGTACATGAATTAAGCATTTACTGACTCCAGCAAACAATGTGTGGTCACTCAGATGTTGCCATTTGATGCCCGCACATGTGGGTTCATGAGGAGATAGATGTGACAACATTTGGAAACTTTATCTTCTTGTGCAGTGGCCATTTGTTCCTAATCTTCCTGTTCCTCCCACACGTTTACCACAGCTTAGTCTGATGCCCCTGTACTTCTCTGTATTATAAAATGTGCCAGCTCCCACAGGCACTAGATCTTGTGGCTTTGTCTCCTGTTCTCTACCCTCCTTTACCTCTTGGTTCCTTAGCACTCTCTTGGATAAGTTTGTACAATGTCAGAAGACACATAATTACAGGAATGTAGCAAGAGACAGGGAGCAAAGCAAGAGTGAAATAAGAAGGTCCCAGACATTTGATCTAGACCACACGTGCATTGAGTAATTTGAGGGTAGGGAATCAGCTAAAGGCCCAAGATCATAATCCAGGCTGGGCTGTTGAGAAGATGAAGCTGTGCTAAGGAGTTGTTGACATTTTATCCTGTAGGCACCAGGAAGCCCATGAATATGTTTCAGCAGGAAAGAAGCAAGAATTGGTGGTTGTTGGTTGTTCATTGTAGAGATTTGAGGATTAGGTGGAAGGTAGATGAGAGGGAGAGTTTAAGAAGAAGAGATATTGGTTAGGAGGCATTTGCAGTAATTCAGGCAAGAGAATGTTGAGCATCTAAGCTAAGACAGTGGCATTGGGAATGGAGAAGCTAATGAGGAATCAGAAGATTTGGTTGGCCATTTGGGTAAGGAAGACGTAAAAGAGAAAGGAGGAGATGTGGTCAGCCTAGACCACTGAAATTCCAGATTGGCACAGGCCAAAGATGGAGGCATAATTTTCACTATAGAACCTTCCCTCTGTCTTCCTACTTCTCTCTGCCATGTGGTTCCCGGGGACGGACCCCTGACCTCAGCCATTTGTGTTCTTTCACTACTGAGTAGTGAGGCAGAAGCCTGTCCAAGTAACCTATGCTGGGCACACAGTTTTCACTACTTCTCATTCCTGAAGCCCACTGCTTCCCCTTGACAGTGGTCCAGCCTCTTTCTCTCTCCGTGTCCTCCACTCCCTTTTCTTCCATGCTAAAAACAACAGGGTTTATTTGGTTGTGGTCCATAGGAACCAGCATGGGCTTCTGTGGTGACCCTGGGATCCCTGCCCATGGCATCCGTTTGGGGGATAGCTTTGCTCCAGGCAGTCTCATGCGCTTCAGCTGTGAAGCTGGCCATGTGCTCCGGGGATCATCAGAGCGGACCTGTCAAGCCAACGGCATGTGGAGCGGCACACAGCCTGAGTGTGGAGGTAACGTATGTGACCCATTCTGCTTTTCCCCTTTGCCTACCCCCAGGTGCTCTTCCCCAATTCTCCTGCCCCCACGTGCCTACCCTCACACTCACAGATAAAATCCATGGCCCCATTTGAACCCTTGGGCTGGTGTATAATGGATACAAATAGATAGTTCATGTTTGTCTTCATTAGTAATCCCCACTTTCAGCTAAGAAGGAAAGAAACCAGAAGAGACTAAATTTAGCCCATTAATGCATTCATTTCTCATGTTGTTTGATTCAAGAACTATATGCCAGATATTGTGGTATGTGTTGGGGATACAGTGGTGACAAGGACAGACATACCCTTTGCTCTCTAGGAGCTTACAGTTTAAGGGGAGATACTGTGTTAAACAGACATGGAAAATGTCAAAAGAAATGCTAATCCAATTTTTTAAAATCTTTTACAAGTAATATAGACCCTTAATGATGTTTTCTGAAGTAGCTGCAATGGGAGAAATTATATTTCCCCATGCATTCCTAAATGTCCCCCCAAAAAGTTCTTTTTTAAACTTCTCAGAGTCCAACTTTTTGCAGCTCCTCCCCAGATCTCTCCATTTCCCTCTAAAACACAGCCTGATAGCGCTCTCCTAGCGAGGGAGCAAGTTTCACAGCTGAGAGTAAAGCCAAATGAGAATATGCTGGAAGAGAAAGAGAAGATATGAAATAGTCATTTAGCAAGGTAGGAGTGTGAATGCTAATAGGGAAATGTAGAATTTCCAGGCAGCACTGAGGGCTCACTTAAGGTAAGAAGTCAGAACTTTAAAGAGAAAATAGTCACCGTTGGTCTTTTTTGTTCAAGCACGTTTTGCTACTTAGGTGCAGGCACAGAGTAGGTAGAGGTGTTGGGTTAGCATTGGCGTTTTACTAGGCAATTAAGATGTCAGTAGAAAATGACAAGGGAGATGAGGGTGTATGCAAAGCAGTGATTATGATGAATCTTGGAATCTAAAGAGGGAACAGGTTTCTGAGTAAGAGTCAATGAAAAAGTGGTAGGATCAATGAGTCGTAGGTCTCAGTGGGATCAAATATCACCAGAGACCCCACCCTAGAAGGAGAGAGAGCTTTGTGTTGCTAGCATTGAGTTTCTGTTTATGGGGTTGGAAAATACGGCAATGGATGTGGGTGATGGTTGCACAACATGATTGATGTAATTGGTTTCATTGAAATGTACAAGTGAAAAATGTTGAATTGGCAAATGTTGTCTTACCCATATTTTTACAACAATTAGAAAAAAAGATGCAGGCAGTGGTTAGAAGAAAGCAGGCTGTTTGAAACTGAGATTGTGGCATAGTCTTGTGGCGCAAAGAAGGATATTCTGGCCCCTGAACAGGGACGTCTGCCCAGGAAATGAGACAGAGGAGTCAGTGCCCTCTCCCACACATCTGCCCAAAGTCCTGCCTTTCATGGGGGTGATATTGGCAAAGTTAATTTCTATAAAATTATCTATGTATAGCAAGAGAACTTGTGGTAGCAGAGTATATTGTCAAGAGATATATTCAGTATATTTTAAAATACCTACTGTGACCAAGGTCCCTTTCACGTGCACTGGGATCCCTGGATGGAGTCAGTCAGCATGTCAGAAGTATTCGGGGAACAAAAGGTGGGTAGTTAAGGCACCTGGAACTGAATATTTGTTGAATGAGTGTGTGTGTGTGTGTGAGTGTGTGTGTGTGTGTGTGTGCGTGTGTGCGCACATACCCAGCCAGCTCTTTTATGACTTCCCTTAACAAATTCCTACTCATCCTTCAAGACTCTACTCAAATTTTACCTCTTACCTCCAGCCCCAATAAGCTGCTCTCTTCTTAGTGCTTTTTTTCCTTCAAGTGTAATTCTTATGATGTCATATTTTAATTCATCTGTTTACAGCTAGTTCTCTTAGACTAGACAAGCTCCTTAAGGGCAGGGACATGACTTGGCCATCTTTGTATCCCCAGCAAGTAGGATACAGTTTGTTGGATGATTAGATGCCCAGTCCTATATGTTATATTAAATATGTAGGAATCATTTTGTAGATTTGACCTTGGGACCATGTAAATGTTGTACGTAATTATAAAATAAAATGAAATCAAAGGTGAAAAACAAGCAATCTCTAAACATAAAAATTAAAATGGAAAAAAAAGCCTAACCATGTATCAAGTTGGTGGCTTATGAACCCAGAGAATTATTTCAGGTGGCTTTAAATCACAGTAATTTGACTGCAGTATATATCATAAGGACAAAAGAACTGCAAAAAATCTTAAACTATTTTCACCTATCATATTGTTAGTAATAATATTGGTATTGCTATTCTGAAAATATTATATATGTATTCATATTGTTGTTGTTGGCTGCCATCGAGTCAGCCCTCAACTCGTGGAAACCCCATGTGTTACAGAATAGCAGTTCACCAGGCCTTTCTTCCACAGAGCCACTGAGTTGGTTCGAACCACCAACCTTTGGCTTAGCAGCCGATTGCAAACCGTTTGTGCCACCCAGGCTCCATATGTGTGTGTGTGTGTGTGTGTGTGTGTGTGTGTGTGTGTGTACATGCATATGTATATATTATATGGATAAAACAAATAATTTAATATCATTAATAACCAAGATTTTCATCATAAAAGAGACACAATATAAAAGAAGTTAAGGTAAAACCCTTAATCCTAAATTTGGATTGGCAATATAAATATAAACTTATAATGAAGTATCAATTCTAGATCTGTCCACTGAAAAAGTCTAGCATCAATGCCCAGCTCAATAGCAATGAGTACCCTTAGCTTCCAGATTGTGGTGTCTAAATCCATTCTCCATTAAAAGGAACTAAGGCTTTTTGGAGAAATGGCTGATTCCATATCTTGGGTAGGAAATGTACAAGATGAACATGGAACATCTTGTCACTCCAAAAAGCAAAGAAGCAACCAAAGACAACTGGGCTCATGTCAAAGGAATGCAAGAGCCAACCTCAAGAGGCTCCCAATAGCTAAAAATAGAACAGTTTAAGCATTAATAAGAGTAATAATGGCAATGAATAGAATCATAGTTAATACATTTCAATCCATGAGGTCCTAATGATTCTTCAATAAGCTCACTGGTCACCTTTGGAGGTTGCTAGGGAACCAACTCATTATTGTGACATTTGATTTTAAAAACAGAAAAAGAAAAGCAAGCATTATCCCACCTTCCGGTATGAACTGTAAGCGGATATTTGATGAAGGAATGTTCTTTATTAAAGAACACCAGCTAATGCAGAAGAAATAATAGAGTTAGAATATCACCATTTTCCAACCCCTAATTAAATAACGAATCTAGCCAACAGTTATCAATTGCTGCTAAAACCACTAAGTGAAAAACTAACAGGAAACTTTAAAATGCTGGATTAGGCGGGCAAATCTGAACCCATCAATCAGTCTCAACATCATCAGCAAGGAAACAGCCAGACATTATGCGCCTCTGATGTGATACAATAAGACAGACACAAAAGCACCTATAAAGTACCCTTGCCAAAAAATGGAACTTGCTTACAGGAACTACCGGGGACAGAGGAACGTGTTCAACAGTACCTCACTGATGCAGTTAGCAAAATCCAGAAAGTGGGGAATTCTACAGGACAAATGCCCTGGCTTCTGTAATAAATAAATTACAGGAGAGGGAAGGGTAATATCTTGGCTCAAAAGACATAGAGCTGTGCAAATCAAATATCATGTGGTGGACCTTATTTGGATCCTGATTCAAATGAATCAACTGTAAGAAATAACAAGGCAATTAGGAAATTTAAACACTGATTATATATTCGGTGATGTTAAGGAATTGCTATTTAAAAAAAAATAGATGTGGTAATAAAAAAAGAGTCTTTATTTTTTAGGAATTAAAAAAAAAATTCATACAGGTTTCTCCTTCCCTTCTTGGGATGAGGTGATCAGGCATGAAAGCACCATGAGAGTGTTTTCTATCCACAGGACCCTTATGTAGCATGTGGTTTCCACTCTGGGCAGTTCTCAGTTCCCCAGGTGACACCTACCATTGTTCTTATGAATAATGTGCTCTTTTGGATTCCTAGTGATCTCTTGTGGGAACCCTGGGACTCCAAGCAATGCCCGAGTTGTGTTCAGTGACAGCCTGGTTTTCTCCAGCTCCATCGTCTATGAGTGCCGGGAAGGCTACTACGCCACAGGGCTGCTCAGCCGACACTGCTCAGTCAACGGCACCTGGACAGGCAGTGACCCAGAGTGCCTAGGTGAGAGCCTAGGCCCTCTGGACTCCATGGCAAAGGAGTGGCCCAGGCAATCAGCTCCCTCATGCAGAAGAAGAAGGCTGTCCATGGGAGACTGGGAAGGCTGGCTGGAGTGGTGGGACTTGACCTTGAATGACAATCATGTTTGGGCTTATATTTTGTGGTAGCACTGAGCTAAGTGCCTTATTTTATATGCATTATCTCATTTGATTCTCACCAGAACCCCATGAAGTAGCTATTACTAGTCCCACTCTATAATGAGATGACAGAGGCTTAAAGAGGTTGAGAATCTATGTGGGCCTTCTCATAGGCTCTAGCCAGTTCCTTGGGCTTTTCTGTTCTCTTTTAGAGCAAATCCCCAGAGCTCAGCCTGGCTCTTTTTCCACTTTAAAGCTGCCACCATCTGCCATCTTTGTAGGTTCATTCTGTTCCTTGAACCCGTCCTCACCCTGGCCTGGCTCCCAAGCATGGTGTAGCCTCACAGCTCCCCTTTCTTGCTACTCTTAAGGAAAGCCCCAGGCCCTTTTCCTTAGAAAGTGAGTCACTGTGGGCCCCATAGGAAGAAGTGATAAGGTGAGGGAATCTAACATTTCCCTTTCAAAGTCCTGGTCAGTGATTTCAAGCTCCATCTGCAATCCCATGTCAAGATCACTTTTGTTCTGAAGGTAGAGTTTGCCGAACCTCACCCACACTTGATACCATGACTAGACATGACCATTGCACATTGCATAGGTCATCGACCCTGCTGCTAGGCTGTTTGGCCTACAGAGGCCTCCTAGGCAGTAAAGATGATAAGATGCACCTCTTGGTCAGCCGAATTGTGTTATGTAGCCCATTAACACATCTTTGGCTCTTTGACCTGGAAACTCCCCTCTTCCTGGGCCCCAGCCTCATTTAGGAACTGACCCCTCTGCACTTCCTCATGGAGGGCTGGACTTTGGTTAAGCATGGCCTTCATAGCCCAAGTTGCTAGGGTGCATAAGGCATGGTGTGGGCAAGGACAGTGGGGCTGTGGGAGCTTGATGCAGGAGGGCTTAGCCAAATAGATTTGAGAATGGGCAGAGCCCAGCTGGGAGCCTGTGAAGAGCCAGGGCACCCCTGATCTGAGAATCTTCCCTCTTGGACTTGAACAGGGAATACTGAGGAGAAGGGGGGTCTGGCCTAGAAATAAGCAGTGCCATATGTCTCTTATCCTAGTCATAAACTGTGGTGACCCTGGGATTCCAGCCAATGGCCTCCGGCTGGGCAATGACTTCAGGTACAACAAAACAGTGACATACCAGTGTGTCCCTGGCTACATGATGGAATCCCACAGAGTGTCTGTGCTGACCTGCACCAAGGACCGGACATGGAATGGGACCAAGCCAGTCTGCAAAGGTGAGTCTGTGGCTGCAGATCTGGGCAGGAGGCCAAAGAAGCTACAAAGGTGAGGCCTGGGCCTTGAACATCTAGAAGGGAGGGAGTGACAAGCAGAGCTCTAACGTCTTATCAGGAGTGTGTGAGGTGAGGACTGGCCCCTGAACTTCTTCAAGGTGAGAACTAGGAGGTACCAAGGTAAGGCCTGGACCTTGAACATTGAGGGGAGGGCTGTGCAAAGGGGACTTGCTCCTTACACTTGGAAGAGCATTGTAAGATGCAAAAAGATCAGAACACCTCCCCACCCCAAGTAAGAGGTTCTGGTTCTTCCTGCTTAGCCCAGACTCCCAGCAGGTATAGGGTCGCCAGTGATGTCAATTCTGAAGACTACGGTCTAGTGTCCTCAGGACAGCTCCAGAACTCAGCCTGCTTTCATCTTCCCCCAGCTATCATGTGCAAACCACCTCAGCTCATCCCCAACGGGAAGGTGGTAGGATCTGACTTCATGTGGGGCTCCAGCGTGACGTACGCCTGCCTGGAGGGCTACCAGCTATCCCTCCCTGCGGTGCTCACCTGTGAGGGAAACGGATCCTGGACCGGGGAGCTGCCTCAATGTTTCCGTAAGGCGCTAACCAGGGCTTTCGGTGCAGACCATTTGAGTCTCCTTCTCTTCCCCTCCTCAGAGTGCTGTTGCTGGAAGGCTGAGAATAGATAGTCCCCTCCCCAAAATCAGAGAAGAAGTTTGTCAGAGACACTAGTAAAGGAGAAAGGAAGTTTAATGGGAGAAATTGAGTAGCCCTGGCCACTGACAGACTCTGTCTGCAGCCGCAAATGGGAGGAAATTAAGTCAGAGATAAGGGAGATGATTCTTAACTGAAAGGGATAGTACCCAAAGATCTGCGGGGGGCGGGGGTGCTCTGTGCTGGGAACATGCATGGCTTCATGGAAAATACCCTGCATGGGCCAGACTTACTAGTCTGCCAGAGACTGGAGGAACCCCTGAGACTATGGCCCCCTGACACACTGCTAACTCAGAACTGAGGCCGCTCCCTAAGTCACCTTTCAGCCAAAGATTAGACAGGCTTATAAAACAAACAGTAACACACATGAGGAGCGTGCTTCATAGTTCAATCAAGTATACAAGACCAAATGGGCAACACCTGCCCAAAAGCAAAGACAAGAAGGTAGGAAGGGACAGGATATCTGGACAAATGACACAGGGAACTTGTGGTGTAAAGGGAAAGGAGGAGAGTGCTGACACATTGCGAGGTTGCAACCAATGCCATAAAACAATTTGTGTACAAATTTTTGAATGAGAAACTGATTTGCACTGTAAACTTTCACCTAAAACACAATAAAAAAAGAAAGAACGAAAATACCCTATGCAGAAAAAACTTCTGGGGGACCCATGATTTTTCTGGCAAAGAGGTCATTTCTTATCAACCTGGCCCATTTGTGCTCAGAAGAGCCCCCAAGCCAATTCCAGGGCTCATTTCTTACTAAGGTCCCCAGAGAAGCAGGTACTTGGTCGCTTATTCTTGTCATGAACCGTAAGTGGGCTCTGGAAGGTTTTATCTGTGTCCCTACTTTGGGAAAGCAGTAAGGACTATTTTTTCTTTCTACTTGAAGTTTATCTAATTCTGCAGAAAATTATCTGCATACTCATGGCACTGTGTGGGTATTGCTGAAAATTTGCTTCAGTTTGGAAAAATTCAGCAGAAACTGGGCCAGCAGAGAAAGTGGACCCAGGATGGGCAGCATTTGGTGTATGGTTGGCCCCTCAGACCTCCACACACCACCAGGGGACCATTGGGAAGACAGCAAGTCTCAGTGCTGAGTCTAGACCCATCAACCTTGCTTTTCCTCTTGAAAAATAGCTGAATTTCTTATTTACAATGAATTACAGTCAACCAAAAAAAATTCATACTATGTCTAAAAATACAAAAAAGAAAGTCAAAATCATCTGAACTGTCCCCCCAAATATAACCATGATTAAGCTTTAATTATGCTTCCACATCAATCACTATGCATTTTTGCATAAATAATGATACGTGTACAATTTTCTATAAACGGTATTGGATCACACTGCACATGCTGTTTCATAACTTGTATTTTCACCCATTGATATGCATATGCCATCAACACCTTTCCATATCAATACATTTGGATTCATTTATCAATTTTAATGGCTGCAAAGAATTCCATGGCTGTGGGTACCACAACTCGTTTAATCTTCTCCTGCTGATGATGAATTTAAGTTGTCTCCAATTTAATCCTGTTAGAAGTTCTGCATTAAATATCCCTGAAAATAGCATTTCTTTACTATTGTAATAAAATACTAAAAGTGAGAACGCTGGGCCAAAGGGCAGGCACTTTGTGCTTCTTGATGTATGTTGCCAAACTGTCTCCTAGAAAGAGTGTCCCAATTTATAATCCTACCAGCAGTTTATGAGAATGTTCCTTAACTCACAGCCTTATCCACAATGGATTTTGCCAATCTTTTTTAAAATGTTTACCAGTCTGAGTTCAAAAAGACAGCTCACTGTCTTAATTGGCATCACATTGCTAATTAGCAAGGCTGAGCTGATCTTTCTTTACTTGTCAACAGGGCTTCAACAAGTTCATTCCAGTTCCAACCCCTGCCAAGAATTTGCATTTCCACCTCAGATATACTGAATCAGAATCTACATTTTAACGAGATTCCCCCATGTGATTCTTGTGTATAACTTCCTGGGAAGTTGTTAGGAATGTAAATTCTCAGCAGGGGTTCAAACTGGAATGAACTGGTTTGAAACCCTGCTTGTCAGCCGTTTATATTTCTTGTTCTTTGAGTTGCTGCCAGGACTTCAAAGGCTAAGCTGATCTTTCTTTACTTGTCAACAGGGCTTAGACTGGTTCATTCCAGCTGGAACCCCTGCAGAGAATTTGCATTTCTAACAAGTTTCCAGGCAATGCTAAAACTGTTGGTTAGGGACCAATTCTGAGAACCACTACTAGAGCAGCAGTTTTAGAGCAAATTTTATTATACATAAGAGTCACCTGTGGATCTTGTTAAACTATAGATTCTGATTCAGTATATCTGGGGTGGAAATGCAAATTCTCTGCAGGGTTCCAACTGGAATGAACCAGTTCGAAGCCCTGGTTGCTGCCTCCTGGATATGGTAGCTTATAATCGCTCAGCCTTCAACTGACCAGATTTGACAATCTTGGGATGAGCCTGCTGTGCTCCGGGGCATAAGCTACAGTTTTCAGGGCATAGGCTACAGCTACAGCTTCCATTTTATTTTGCATATGGTTGTGAACCTCAGATCCTATGTACACACAACACACAAACAGCGTAAAGAATGTTCCTCATGCTTGATATGATGTCTTGAGGAATATCTTGCCTTCGGTAGTCAACTTTTAATGATACTGTCCAATATTAACACGACCTGAATGAAATAGACATGCTCACTCGCTACCCACAGCAATGTAAATGGGTACCTTTAGGGCATCCTAAGAAAACAATACAAGTGAAAGAAAAAGCCATATGTCACTTCCAAATAATAGAAAATACCTACTTTAAGGGTTAAGATAAAAATGTAATTATGAACCACCTGGAGTAAAGGAGAATGAAGAACACCAAAGACACAAGGAAAGTATTAGCCCAAGAGACAGAAACAGCCACATAAACCAGAGACTTTATCAGCCTGAGACCAGAAGAACTAGATGGCGCCCGGCTACCACCATTGACCGCCCTGACAGGGAACACAACAGAGAGTCCCTGATGGAGCAGGAGAAAGGTGGGGTGCAGAACTCAAATTCTAGTAAGAAGACCAGACTTAATGGTCTGACTGAGACTGGAGGAATCCCGGAAAGCATGGCCCCTGGATTCTCTATCAGCCCAGAAATAAAACAATTTCTGAGGCCAACTCTTCAGACAGGGATTGGACTGGACTGTGGGACATAAAGTGATGCTCGTGAGGAGTGTGCCTCTTAGCTCAAGTAGATACAAGAGACTAAACAGACAGCTTCTGTCCAGAGGTGAGATGGGAAGGCAGAGAGGGTTAGGAGCTGGTTGAATAGGCATGGGGAATCAGGAGTGGAAAGGAGGAGTGTGCTGTGACAGTATGGGGAGGGCAATTAGGGTCATATAACAGTGCATGTATAAATTTTTGTATGGGAGACTAACTTGAAATGTAAACTTCATTTAAACTACAACAATAAAAAAAATTTTTTAAATGTAATTATGGTATAGCCTCTCATTGCAAAATTATATAGCCAATAAGTAATAATGATGTCATAAATGTGGAAAATGTTTGCATAATAATATTAAATGAACAAAGCAAGATTCGCAATCACAAGGGTATTGGGTTTGCAACAAGTGAACAGACTAGAAGAGAATGTGCATGAAAATGAAAAAAAAAGTTTTGGTTTTGAGTAGTAGGATTATAGTTTATTTCTGCTCAATTTTCTAAGTTTCCTATAATGTTACTCCATTATTTAGATGATTATTATTAAGCATTTTGAGTGTGGAAAGGAGCAGAAACAGAGCAGCATGGAGGCAGGTGTAAGCACTTTCAGGGGAGTGCCCCCAATTTTCAGAGTGCAAGTGAAATTGAGAGGAAAGCAGTACAAAGGCTGGGGGTGGGGTCAGGCTGGGCTCCAAGAGCAGCTCAGAACTGCCTTTCTCCCTTCGTCTTCCCAGCTGTGTTCTGTGGAGATCCCGGTGTCCCACCCCGCAGCAGGAGAGAGGACAGGGGCTTCTCCTACAGATCGTCGGTCTCCTACTCCTGCCAGCCCTCTCTGGTGCTGGTGGGCTCTCCACGGAGGTTTTGCCAGTCAGATGGAACATGGAGTGGCACCCAGCCCAGCTGCATAGGTGAGAGGGGACCTGGGGGCGGACAGCACATCAGCTGGTGGGCAACCTTCTTTTGAGTGGAAACAACTACTACTTTCCTTCCTATGTCTTCAGTGGTCTCATTTGCAAAAGGGAGCAAGTCCTCCTCTGAGCTTCTTAGAGGAGGATGTAAAATAAGCAGATCGGATGTGCTCTGGAGGAGTCTCTGGGTGGTACCGGTGGTTAAGCACTTGACTACTAACTGAAAGGTTAATGGTTTGAACCCACCCAGAAGCACCTCAGAAGAAAGGCCTGGTGATCTGCTTCTGAAAGGTCACACCCTTGGAAACCCCATGGAGCACATTTCTACTCTGCACACATGGGGTTGCCATGAATCAAAATCCACTCAATGGCAAGGGGTTTGGTTTTTGGTTTTAATGTGCTACGGGGAAGTATATAATCAGCCAGGAGAATGATTCATGTGGAGAAATCAAAAGTCAGCTTTCTTTCCTACATCTGTTTCTCAGAGTGAGTTGGGACAGTGAAATTTTCAGTTACCATGTGATCTGTTTCTTTGTTTTGGCAAATCCAGACCCAGCGCTGACCATGTGTACAGACCCCGGTGTGCCGCAGTTTGGGATACAGAACAATTCCCAGGGCTACCAGGTAATGAGGTCGGCCAAGATCGGGCCTTCCTGCCCCCTGTTCCTTCCTGTCACTGTCAGCATGAGAGACCCCAGGGACCTTTTCCAAGACAGCATTGGCTGGAACTAAGGGAGAACGAGACCTTGGAAGCTGAAGAAAGGAGGTGCTCTGCCACTTTGAACCATGCTCCACGTGAGCGCCGTTCAGAAACAGAAAGTGTTTACATCAGAGAAGCTGATGTGGAAAGACAGATCACATGTAGTTTTACAAACACCTCCCAGCAACCCCATGTAGCTGGGACAGAATGTTTGTGGGAATTTAGAAATAAGTAAGACAGATAGGCCCACTCACCTCAAGACACTCATACACTACCCACCAACACAGGGTTCATACAGGGAACACGAGCAAGGCAGGTACCACACATCCTGTCAGTATGCAGGCTCTGTGGACACATCTCAGAATGAGCTTTGGGAGAAGGAGAGGATTTGGACAGTCTGGAATGGGACACTCTGAACAGAGAAAGGAATGGATTGTAGGGGTTAAGAGTAGAAGTACTTAGACACTGTTGCATTGGCTTGGGTAAAAGATGAGGGTTAGATCGGGCAGGGGTAGTAACAGTGGAGATGGAGAGAAGGGAAGGGTTTGGGATATGTTTTGCAGGTAGAGCCAAGAGGACTTAATGGATGGACTAGATTGAGAGGTTGAAAGAAAGGAGGGAGTCAAGGATGGCTTGAGGTTTTTGAGTTGCACAGCTGGGTGGATAATGGTGCCATTTGCTGAATGAAATGATGAAGTCCAAGAGAGAAGCAGGTTGCTGTGGAAGAGGGAGAGGAAAGTATGAGCTTCCCTTTGTGTTTGAATTTGATCCAGTAGGAAATAGGAACTCCTGAGTGCTATTTGAGCAGGAGAGAATATAATCCAAGTTTCAGTTTAGAAAACTGATCTGGCAGAATTATGCCAAATGGATTGGAGAAGGAGAGATGGAGCTGGTGATTACAAAAGTGTAGAGTCAGACAGTGAGGGGCTAGTGGAAAGCGAAGATGGGGAAATGACTGAGCAGAGGGAAATTGAGGGAGGGTGACAGTTCTATTTAACAGACATTTACAAAGCACAGTGCCAGATTCTCTGCTGGTTATATCTGCAAGTAAGACAAGTCTCCTATCTTTAGTCTCCTTATCCATGAAGATGGTGCAGGACAGGGCAACATTTCATTCTGTTATACATAAGGTCACCATGAGTCGGAACTGAGCCAACAGCTCCTAACAACAACGACAGCCAACCTTAAGGAATTTACACGTAGAAGGAGACACACATAACTAAGAATTTTATTTTGTGCAGTTCTTCACATTTTATAAAATGCTTTCAAATCCACCATCACATTTGAATGTCACAACATTCCAGTGTAGTTAAGGCAAGGATAGTCAGCCCCACATTATACATAAGAAGACGAAGGTGTAGAGAGTTTCAATGAGTAAATATAGAAGCCAGAACTCAGATCCAGGGCCTTTTGATTCTGATTCAGGCATGCTGCCCATCACAGTAGACTGTGCTGTGTTCCATAACAGCATCGATCAGGGGATTGGATAAGGCCTTGTGGAAGAGGCACGATATAAGCTGCCTTAAAGGATAAGTAAGATTTAAGCAAGCAGATAAGGATGTTCCAGGCAGAGGCCATGGGTAAAATTTGGGTCATGAGAAAGTAAGTAGTCAAGTGCACAACTGGGTGGAGGGCAGGTTTGGAGCATTGCTGGATGGAAGGTGATGATGGGACCTTCTGTTCTTGCTGCAGGTTGGGAGCACAGTACTCTTCCGTTGTCAGAAAGGCTACCTACTTCAGGGCTCCACCACCAGAACCTGCCTCCCCAACCTGACCTGGAGTGGAAACCCACCTGACTGCATCCGTGAGTGCAGACTTCATCCCAAGAAAACTCTTGGCCACACATTATCTCCCCCAGCAGGTCACCCACCACATGCTTAAATGCTGTGAATGACAGGGAGCTCACAACTTCTCATTTGCACACATGCTGGTCTCTTTGTAGTTCTTGCCCCTTAGAGCCTCACAGAAGACATTTAATTTCCCTTCCACACAGAAGCCTTACTCATACTTGAAGGCAATCCCCATACTAAGACAGGAAGAACTTTCCAGTAGCAGCAAAAGGTAACAACTACAAGGCCAGGCCTCAGGATGGAGATTTCAGGGTTTTGACCAAAATTATTCCTTCTTCCCTCGAGAAGAGTGCTAAAGGTTTGGATTCCTCCAGGGTTCACCAAGCCAGTATCCACATTATCTGCATCTTGGCCATTTATATTGGCATCAAAGCTGGGGAGGTGGGGAGATGGGGTGGGGACAGGGGAGGGGGTCGCTGGGCACAGAAGGAATAGGAAGGGGATGGTTCATGTATGAACAAGAGAATGGCCAAAAAGGCTTCCTGAGGACTCTAATCTCCCCAGGTCCAACAATCTCTTTCCTCTTGTTCAGCCCACCACTGCAAGCAGCCAGAGACACCAACCCATGCCAATGTTGGGGCCCTGGACTTGCCCTCCATGGGCTACACACTCATCTATTCCTGCCAGGAGGGCTTCTCCCTGAAGGGTGGCTCTGAGCACCGCACCTGCAAAGCAGATGGCAGCTGGACAGGCAAACCACCCATCTGCCTGGGTGAGTGAACCCCTCAGTGAACCTCCCCAGGGTGGGAGGCAAAAGTGACAGTTGAGCTTGAGGTCAGAGAGGGCCAAAGAGATGGTATTAACTTCCTAGGGCTACGATAACAAATTTCTACAAACATGATGGCTTAAAGCAACAGAAGTTTCTCAAGGTGTCGATAGGGCTGTGCTCCTTCCAAATGCTGTATGGGAAATTCCGTTCCTTGCCTCTTCCAGCTACTTGTGGCTGCCAGGATTCCTTGGCTTGTGGCCACATCATTCTATCTCTGCCTCCACCTTCACACGGCCTTCTCTGTCTGTGTCTTCTCTGTGTGTCTCTTATAAGGACACTTGTCATTGGGTTAGGGGCCACCTGGATAATCCAGGATGATCTCATCTCAAGATCCTTAACTTAATTACCTCTGCAAAGATCCTTTTTCCAAAAAGGGTAAAATTCACAGGTTCTAGAGATCAGCATATAGACATATCATTTTTGGGGCCACAATTCAACAACACACTGAAAGAAGGGAGAAACATGGTTTCCAGGAGCTGGCTCTTGCTTCTGATTTTCTGAAGTGTCAGTTCTCTAGGAGACCAAACACAGAGCACCCTAAAGAGAGGTACATATTGAAGACATCCCACGTTTTATTTTGCTGCCGTCTACTTGAATTTAAAGGCAATCTTAAAGAATTATGCTTATTCATCAGGCAGTGAAAAGCTCTTTGTTCCACCAAACTGGAATCACATATCATTCATTATAACCTTGATAAAACAGTACCCACCTACAAATCATTTGGCAGTTACCAAGGTATCCCAAGCCTCTATCACTCTCCTCTTAATTTATTCATTCTCTAATTATTGAGCATTATCACTGTGTCATGCCTGTGCTGAACTTGGCAGGTACAGAGGAAAAAACACAAATCCTGTCCTAAAGGAGCTCACATTCCACTGCAGGAGACAGAAAATCATCAGATATAGAAGTACCTTGAAAAACACAGAGGTGCACTTAATGCCATGGGAATGAGGAAGAAGGGCACAAATTTAGCCTAAGAAAGGAAGGGAGAAGTCAGGGAAGACTTCCTGGAAAAAGTGATGCCTGAGTCTAACAAGGATAAAGGATCAATTTGGTGATTGAATGGTATTAAGCCCTCTCTTACAAGTGCTGATCTCACCATATGCCAACCATTGTTCTAAGAACTGTGTGTGTATTAGCTCATTTAATCCTCACAATAATCCTATGAAGTAGGAGCTGTTCATGTCTCCATTTAATATATGAGGAAACTGAGGCGCAGAGAGGTTAAGTAACATGCCTAAGGTCAGTGGCTGGTAAGGGACAGAGCTGATATTCAAACCCTCACAGTCTAACTTCAGAATCCATGCGTTTGACCACTTTTCTGTACTGCCCCTGAAACAAAAAGAGAGCAGGCTTTCAGGTTCAGAGCCTTTATTAGAGCTAGGACTTAAAAACATTGCTTTATTTTCATTGCATGAATTGTTGTAAATTTCTTTTATGTATGGAAAGTAATATTTGTTTTCCACATATTGTAGTGATACAAACTTTCTTTTTTAAAGTACATTTATTTAAGTTTTAAAATGTGATTTAATTTAATGAAAAAGACTAATAATAATATGAGTGGGCCAGCAGGCTGGCAAACTGAACTGGCACTTCCTTCCACTACAGACATGTAATTATATAATAACAACAACAACAAAACTGTATCTACATAGCCAAGGACTTTAATTTCTGACAGTTTGGTAGACACTGAATCCTATACAGCTCTCTGGTTATAAAATGATGAGTAAAACATAACAAACATAAACATATTTTAAATGTATAGCTGAACTCTCAAGAAAGTAAAGAAAATCCCCAGGGTCTCAACAAGACCAAAAAACAAAGAGGAAGCCGAAAATCTGAATGATTAGACAGTACTGAAGCTGCATCTGCTCTCAGGGCATTTTCCAGTCTCCATGACCTGGAACCTGAAGTTTAAGATTTCCACAGAGAACAACAGACAAGGCCTTGGGCCTTGAAAGGTGGAGAGCTGAAACAGGTAGACCTCTGCCCCCCACCCTTCCCATAAAGCCAGAACTCTCAGAGCTCTAACCCTCAGTGAAATAGTGGATTAAAAAGTATCTTCCCTCCAGGAAAGGAAGACAAAATTCTGGGATTAAAAAGTCTCCTCTGGGAATTTACAACTATGAGTCTACTTTATGTGAGTCTGGT